AGTCATGAAAGGATTGATTCCCTCTCTCTTTTCATCTCATTTCATACACTATTCGCGTACGGTGTCACCGACATTTTGCTGCCCAGCGCCATAATCTGGCATTCCTTGCCCTTTTTTTTGGGGGGGGGGAGCTTTGCTTTCAATAAAGCTCCACGTCACTTCAAGCATGTGTGTGAATTTTTACCTCTCTATCTACATTATTCCGTGAATTATGGAATTTTTAAATGTTAACGGATTTTTGGGTCACCCAGTACGATGGCTGAACATTTGGTCTCCAGTAAAACTCTGTTCGAAAGTTCTCTTTTCTAGTCTTTTTAATAATTATTCTAAAATCAAACCTTGCCAAATATTTCCAGTCTTTCGGGGAATTTTAACGATTTTCAGAATCCAGGGAATCATTGAAGCAGTAAACTCTTAATGATAGCTGATTGACGTTGAGAAAATCTTGTGTATTTTAACCTTGTTGCTATCTACCTGAACTACTGTGGGTTTCAAAGTAATGTTTGGACTTTTTGAGGGTTAAAACAGACAAACTATTAAAGATAGCTTGAGCTTTAAAACAAAGTCTTAAAGATCTTCTTACTGATCTGCTATTTCGTTTATGAAGCTGCAATGTGTACGTTTAGTGGGTTATAAGCGGAAAACGATCGTTGAGAAAACAAAGCAAGAGGAAACTATCTTACTAAACATTGTAAGAGAAAAGAAGCAATGAGAAAACTATCTTACTAAACATTGTGAAAGAAAAGAAGCAATGAGAAAACATAGAAGGTTCTAAAGCAATATTGTAGAAAATAAAGCGGCTTTAAACTTCACATTTTTAAAACGTCTTCGAAAATCATTACATGATTATAACATTTGCCTGCAAATCATTGCATGATAATAACATCGCTGGCATTAATTTTCAGACTTTAAAAGTTTTAAGTATATACGTGTAATGATTTGTATGTGCAAGAAGGAATGAAGAACACCTCTGTATTGAACACCTCACAATTTTTACCTCTGTATTTCATATTTTGAAATTAACTGAAAAATTTTTGCCGAAGAAACGAGATGGATTTAAAAAATGAAAATTAGTAGAAATTAATGCTATGTGCAATAGTTTATAAAATTTTAAAATTATGGAATGAACTATTAAAAGCTATTATTTAATTAATCTCTTTAATAAAGCTGGATTAGTAACATGCATTCAAAACTTTTAAAGTCTGAAAATTATGTAGAAGCTTTATTTTTTACCACGATATTTTCTTGGACGATGTTTTAAAAAGCTGGAAAATTTTGAACCGCTTTATCTTTTACGACCAAAGCCGAATTTATGTATAAACTACACAAGCTATAGCTTAGAGCAGGATTTCTTAAACTGTGGATCACAGGACCTGCAGCAGGGGGTCGCCGAATATTTTAGCAGTTTGGATATTTCTTTAACTTATTATAATAATTTTACATTTACCAAATTTTTTTACACAATGTGTCTCAAAATAGATAAAGATAAGACAATGCAGACAGAAAAAAACGAAAGCGTTTCGACGCATTCTTTATATAATATAAACGTTCATTTTCGTTGCTCTTTGCACGTGACTCTGTCATTTCGTCTGTTACTTATTTAAAATTTTCACATTGTTCTGTGTCTTAAAATTAGAAATTAAAGTTAATGACCTAAAACTGCAATAGTATGTTAAATGTACAAGTGAAAAAATTGACAGTTTCATTCACGCGTGTGTCGGATTTTGCGCAGTACTTATGGAGTCCCACAAAAATTTTTGTAAATATTATGGGTTCTTGGGGGTGGCGAAAAAATCTCAGTGATAAAAGGGGGGTCGCGACTGAAAAAGTTTAAGAAGCCTCCTCTTTCTTGGGGGCCTCCCCAAAACTTAAAATATAGCATAAATAGTATTAAAATATATTATAACAGAATTATAAAGGGCCCCTTATCTCAAATAGCTTAGGGCCTTATCAAGTCTAAATCTGGCTCTGTCTACGATGTTTTTAGATTCACAATGTTTCACGCATTGATTCATAATTCTATTCACAATCCGATTCCGATTCCCAATGGTTTTAGAATTGCGATATTTTTCCCTTGCCTTTTCTTCCACGAGGTTTTGTACAATGGCGTTTTTCCTCTGGCGTTGAAGCCCACCAGCGGCCGAGCGGTAAAGACACTGAACACTGGTAGTTCGAATCCCGCGAACGGGCTGGCTGCATGGGCGTTTTCAGGGTTTTCCCCATGTGTAACGTGTATACGAGCCAGTTTCCCTTAAAACTCCTCCACGAAGGCATCCCTCCCTTTAAGCAGATAGCCCTCGTGTGCTTTGCCATAATTGAATAATCCAATTCAAGCCTCTGGCGTTGTTTTCTCCAGATGTTTTCGGCGGTCACTCGTGTACTGTGTGGCTACAGGTAAGCATTCTATTATTTTTAATTCATTCAATCTTTTTCCATTAAAAAGGATCATGCTGACCTCCGCTATTTAGTGTACATTGACGTCAAAAACAATGTAAACTAACCATCGCAGATGAGCATGCTTCTTTTTACGTAATGTGACGAAATTTTAAAATATTACCAGAAAGCTGAGAATGTGTGCGAAACACCAAGATGATGGAGATCGGAATTTGACACTCCAACTAGCTTGAAGATACGAGGAAAACTCACGTGACCTAAAGAAGGCATGATGCGTCTAGCAAGAGAACGACAATGAATAAAGTGTAGAGAAAGCGTACAGGCTTTCACGATTCTTTGGCATCGGAGCCTCCAGTATCTCCGATGCCAAAGGCCTCAAGAACCCCTGGAGATTGGATGACATGAGACATACTATCGCGACTGCCTGCTTTTCTTTCTCGTTTAAAATATATCCCCTGTTTATCGATTCGCTTTATAGCATTAAAGACGTCAAATTACTGCCAATGGCGGTCGTTTTGAACTGTTAAAACTTCAAGATACGTAACACCAAAAACGTAAATACCTGTTGTAAGAAGCATTCTTGCTGTTAACGTTCAAACCTCAAAGCGTTAACTTTAAGGTAATTGAGTTATTTTGAGTTGCTTTATATATATTTTGAATCAGAATTGTTTAAGAAATGTTCTTTTCTTTTTTGGGTTCGCTGTGTTGGTGATACTTTTGTACATTTGATAGCAAGAAAAAGGACTGACTAGTATTGTATCGGTGATGATTTCTTTTAATGTGGCTTCTGATCATTCTTTTGATCTGGTTCACGTCTGAACTCGACTTTCATAACTTTTTCCTTTTTTGATGTTTTCAGTAGCACTCAATAGGTCTAATTTCAATACTACAGAGTTAATCGGAAATCCTTTTCTCTTCACCTTCCTGTCCATGCCAGATCTTGTCATTCTGCTGTAAGCAAAGAATAGCCACTTTGTATTCTTTTGTTTAAGTACGTGTTCTGTGCATTCTGTTCTTATTCAAGAACTTGGTTATCTAAAAACTGTTGCTATTAATGGGCGTTCTTTCCTTTTGTTATTGATAAAGCTTTCAAAAATTTCCTTCTTACTGTAGATAGACAAAGTTCTATTAAAAACTGTTATCTTAATCTTGCCATCTACCCTTTTTATCTTCAGTTAGTTACAAAATACCGGGATTTTTCCTAAGTTCAGTGTTTAAGCTGTTTTCTGTTCTGAGGGTTTTAGTTTTGGGTTCTCAAAGGTGAAAGAATTTTAGGGGCTATTTTAATATATGCGTTGATATAATAAAAAAAGTTCCAAATATGAAAATATCCTGGAAAATCCGATTGTAGATTTTATTATAGCTAGCACTTGCGAGCTCAGCTGCCTAAAATAATTATTGTAAATATTAAAATATATACATAATGTTTTTAATGAATCCAGCTAGGAAAATTTCATGGGTCGAACTTATAATTAATAGAGATGAAGAACTCTGTTCATTATTTTTAAATCACGTAGTTTGCATATCAGTGACTGACAGATTAAATCTGAAAGAAAACTCAATATCTTTGCCGAATGGCAACAAACTGGTGCATAAAAGATAAAAATGTATTTTATTTTGAGCTGTGGCAACATATTTCTTAATTGCCGATCTTCATTTACCAGTACCTTCTTTAAAGGTCATTAACGGCCACTTAATTACGAAATACTAGTAATATTATAAGGACAGTCATTTTATTCTGGAAATGTATTTAACATTGTTATTCTTTATTAAGATTGTCATTTAATTGTAAGATGTTTACATTATATAATATGTATAGATTTTTTAGGGTCAATTAAGTAGCAACTTTCAAAAGAACGATCCTTTGGCATCGGAGTCTCCAGTAATATCATAAGGACAGTCATTTTTTTCTTGGCAACATATTTAACATAGTTATTCTTTATTAAGATTGTCATTTAATTGTAAGATGTTTACATTACATAATATGTATAATTTTTTGGGGGGTGGCATTAAGTAGCAACTTTCAAAAGAAAGATCCTTTGGCATCGAAGCCTCTGGTGATCGAGCGAATAAACCCCCGCTGAATCCTGATAGATTCACCCGGCTTATATTTGGTTTCATGGGTATTTTTCTCATGTGTAACATGAATACGAGTCAGCTTCCCTAAGAAAGTTCTCCTTGAAGGCATCCATTCTCTTAGGCAGATAGCACTAGTGTGTTGTGCGACAATCTAATAAATCCAGTTTAATCTATTCCTTTGATATAGAATCTTTTTGGTGGCATCTGCAGAAAGTAACACAAGAATTATTTAAAAAGAGGGGAGACATATAAATATTATAATTATAGAAATTAAAACATAATAGGAAAAAAATTGGATAATGATGGATTTATTCGGCATTCACAAAGCAATCGTGAAAGTTCACGATGCGATGAAGTTATTCTATCATTGTAAATAAATTTTTAATTTTCGAAAGAAATATTGACACTTTGAGACGAGGTGTGGAAAGAAATGTTCAAGAAATAAATGCGAGATTTTTGCATTTTTTAGGAGGGGGGATACTTTAGGCCATTATGAACAGTATGATTAAACCAACAAATTACATTTCATTTTTTTAATATCTTGTGATAAACTTTACATCAGAGTATTGTGGTTTACAAGAATATAAACAAAGTGCGAGCTACAGTTAACAGAAGTCTTCCAGACCGATAGAGTTTAAACTGGATGTTGCAGGAATTGAATTTTTGATTTAAATCATTTTCTAAATTTTTTTTACGATTATAAATTTTGCGTATTTTCGTTATTGTGGTGACAGTTGTACGAAAATTAAAATATTTTTCTGCTTGTTGCGGTGTTAAGTACTATCAGTGAAAACATGTAACAGTACTTCATTCCCATTCGATCTCCCAATGGTTCCGACGCCATGTAATGGTTACGCATAGCCGCGTAACGATGCTTCAAGAGGAGAAACAGATGTTAGTTAGAATAGGCATCCCCTGCATTTTGGCGCCAATTCCACCACCGTAAGCGCGCGAAGAGCGTGCACAATCCAAGGCATTCTGGGATATGACCACGTGAAAAGGGAAAATGTGGACGGTCCCATGTGGCCGCTAGAGAGAGGGGCGATCGCTGGTTGTGCTTTTAACTAGTTGTTTGTGTGCTTTTTTTCACTTCGCGGTATTTGTATTCACTTAAATGGGAGGTCTCCGTTTCAGGAGACTTTGTTTGCCCTGTGACATGTTTACTGACTATCATGTATAAAAATTCTACAGGGTGTTCTTGCAACACCTCGAGTAGGCTTAACGCTTACATTTTACCAAAAATATCGGTATGAATTCTCCTCTTCGAAAGGATAAATAGGGTACGAACAAATGCTATGGAGAAATAAGCAGTTTCCAATGTAAATTTTCTGAAATTCTTTATTTATAAAATATAGTGATTGGTTACATGCTGCGCTGCAGGTTTTTAAAAATAAATACTGGATGTATCTTTTCTTGTAACAGTTGGGAAGAGCCAATAGCATAGAAACGTGGAATTCATATTTTCTAAACAAAGTTTACGGCATGTGTAAGTGTCATGTTGGCTTTCATATTTCTTCTATTTGCCCCGCAAAGTTCATTCTATTAGTGACCTGTAATGGTTTTAAATGTATGTTGACATACGCAAACTAGTGGAGTTATCTCGGGATTCTGATAACAATCGATGTATTTGTGTATACCACATAAATTACCTGAATGTGATTATCCTACGTTTTTATTATAAAAATATTTGATAGTTGTTTACAGATTACTTTACATCATTTAATAATTAAATACTAAATTTTCTTATGAAGAAGAAAACAATCATTTTCCGACTCAAGTTAAATAAATTTTCCTTTGTTTCATGTTTTGTTATTTTTTCCTGTGATTTATATTTTATTAAGCATTTATGTTGTGTAGAAGATACTATTTATTTTTTTCATGACAGAGTTTAACATAATTTGCAGAGCAAATGTGAACACATTTTAGTAAAATTTAAAGGGACTGACTGAAATGTAACTTCCCATTTCATACTTTTATTTAAAAAGTAACATTTAAATGTGTAATGATTTTTGTGTTTTCTAATTCTGAATATTTATGCAATTTATAATGAATAATGCACTTTATTCCATGCTGTTAGTATGGCTGTATGAATGTGTTAGAAATTAAGCACTGATTAAGGCCCAGTAATGAATATATATGAATAAAAAAATCAGAATGCTTAATGTTTTTTTTAAATTTGCTATATTGTGGTTTTTCATCTTGCAGCCCAGATAATCACTCTTCCTGTTGTCAGTACAGCTACAACAATAGCCATGTCACCTTTCAAGATGGAACCCGCTATTTTACCAAAAACTGTGCATCTTTCCAGTTCGCCTGTGGTACGAAAAATTTTAATCTTAATCTAGTATTAAAACCGTATAATTTCTGCCATGAGCATATGTATGTATTATGTATGTATATTAGCAGCAGTATGTTATGTCTTTTTAAATGGACATAGAAAAAATTCTCTTTTAACTAATTTCCATCTCACGCTGTGTCAACTCTGTCAAAATGCAATTAAAAGCATCATTTTGCTAATAAGTTGCATCTACATATGTAACAATGCAATATTGTTTCATTAGTAATTTAATTGTTATTGTGCAATACTTTTGATGTTGTATTGTGGAATGAAATAACAGCTAAGATTTGTTTTCATTTATTATTTTTAAATTTTTATCCTACAACCTTTTGTAATGGAAATAGATTTATATCTAATTCAGAAGTGTTCAGGATAATTTTAGTTATATTTAGAATTGAGAATGTGTGATATAGTATGAACATAACTGTAATGTGTGGTTTACTAGTTATTAATTAAAGCTGAAAAATTTTAAATAAAATTTTCAATTATGTTGGTTGGAATTATGCAGATGTGTTTTCATTGATGTTTTCAAATATGGGATCTAAGTCATTAGATTAAAAGTGCTGTAGAATGTTTAAGTCTAGAATTATAATATAAAGAAAAGCCAATATCAAGCAAAAAAGTTCATTTTCAATTAAACTAATTTGCTTCAAATGCTTTTTGCGCTTTTAGGGTGTGCTCTCAAGTAAGAGGACTCAAATATGGTATTGTAGAATGTAAATCATTGATACTTATAATTCATATTTAAATAAAGATTTTAATGAGTTTTTAAATGTGAGGAAAATTTTTTACTTATGTTATAAATATAATGTAGTGTTTGTATGCTTGTTTTATATGACTCTGAAGTCAAATTATAGAAGTGCAAGAAAAGACTATATTTCAAAACAGGTGATTTAATTATGTTGAGCTCTCGCCTGCACTGTATTACACAATTGAATTAGAAAATACAAACTTCACAGACATTGTAATTTCAGTCCTTTTAAAAACTAAGCTGTTATTAAGTTTTATTACCAAAATATACAAAAGTAGTCAAAATGCTATCTTGAAAAATTGCAATTTTTACCCCGCAGTAGTTTCCAAATGATATTATTTTCAGTTTTCATACACAAATTGCCTTTCAAATTCTGAGTACTAATGGAAATATTTTTTTGTTTGGTGATCTGGTGGCCATACCACAAAGATTGCTATTGTTTCTCCATTTCTCAGATTGCAAAGATTGCTGTTGTTTCCCATAATGTTAATATTAATCACTCACTCATTTGTGAGAAGAAAACATTTTGGATATTTAACTAGTGGTGGGTACACTTTCATTTTGCCTTAAAGACTGTTTAAGTCATTGTGGTTTAGAAAGTGTTGAATATTGATGTGGATCACATGTATTTCAAGTATACAACACATTTTTTTTTTTTTTTTTTTAAATTAGTGTTGATGTATTCATTTGAAAAAGAAAATGAAGATGTCCATGAAAAGACACTTTAAATGATGTAAAAGAGGGTGAAAACGGAATAGAGCACTAGTAGGTAGCTCACTGAGCATTAATAGGTAGCTCAGTGATTATACCTGTCTGGCATGATTCTGTCTGTGATGCAGAAGGAAATAAAGATCTGGCTACTGTTGCCTGTCTTGTGACAGCTTTTGGACTGATATACTTTAAGTTCCCTTTTTACATATAGTTGATGATTATATGTATCTAAACCTTAATCGCTTATGAGCTGATTTTCATGGGTTAGCAAAAGAACCCATGCCCATGAATATACATACTAAAATACTACCATGATAGTGGTGGCAGCTGTAAGAAAATAAAGTAGTAATGATGATGAGAACTAGAGAATGAAAGTGAATCTGAACTGTTTAACGTGTCATCATATGTAAAAGCAGACATGAAATAGATCATGTAATCTGCTGTACTATGTATAATCTAATTTTGATGATACAGTCAAAATTCGTTAATTAGGACACCCATAATCCGGAATGATCTATAATCTGGACCTCAAAACTAAAAACTTTCTGCGCATGCGCCGCGTTGACACTTACGCATAGGCGTTTACGCGTGCGCGTAAGACCTTTACGCCTGCGCATATGCTTGTGCGCAAGCGCAGAATACGTTTTCGCGTGCGCGTTTTATGTATAACGGACAGTATAAGCTAAAATTATCTAATTATCTATTTCATTTAATGTTGATGTTTGCATTGTTCCTTAATCTTCGAGTTGGATTCAGCTTATTATTTTTTGAAGACTGTAAGAGCAATTTTATAAAAGTAAACTTGAACTTTTGATTATGTCAAATAGAATTTCCGATGCTGGAGCTCCCAAAGGATCTACAAAACGAAAGTATGTTTCGATGTCCATCAAACAAAAAGTGGAATTGCTGCAAAAAATGGATAAAGACGTGAAGAAGGTGACAGAGATGTTAGTGAAAACGAAAACATTTCGATTAACAAGTTAGTCGGTATTCTCAGCACAGCAATTACGGTACTTGAACTGCGGAACTTTGTAACTGAACAAGAAATTATGTCTGTTTATAGAATTTAAGAGAAAGTATTATCACATAAAATGAAGCAACTTAAACAACTTACATTGAAAGAAATGTTTAATAATAAAGTAAACAAATAAATATTAAGCTTTTTTTTTTGTAAATTTTGATACCCTTTAGATCATAATTGTTCTTTATTTCATAAATTACGGTTTCATATTTTTAATTTTAGAATTTCTGCATGCCATTTTATGAGATTTAAACTGATGATCTATAATCCGGAATCGCCGACGTCCCGACGAGTCCGGATTAACGACTTTTGACTGTAATAAATTCAATAACTGTATGCTTTCAAATTTAGTTTTACCTGGTCAGATTAGTTTATGTACTGTATTGGGTAAAGTCTAGAAATTCAGTTGAGTATTGCACCACTGGGTTTTGCACAAATCATTTAAATTTGCTCTTTGTTGTACCCTTATTCTGAATACTTGAATTGGTCATATTAGTAGCAGTGGCATAATTTTGTTCTATATATTTGATCAGGTTTTTCTGTCTGTGACTGGATATTAATATTTTTTTAATTTTCCTATAATCAAGTTTCTGCAGCTGTTATTCTGAATTTTAGAAATAAGCATTTTATCTTTTAATTATTTGAAATCGGTGCAGTATTTTTATTATGAGTGCAGTATTTTTATTTATTATTATTTTTTTTAAAAATTCATTTATGCTATTAAACTACCATCAAATAATTCCTGTGACTAAAATTTCAGATACTCAGCACTCCACAGCGTGTCGTCGCAAGTGTCATAAATAATTCTCGTACACCCCAGCATCTGCTGCCAGCCACTGAACATGCTGTGGCGTGGTCGGGAAAGCGTCCACATGAATTTGCGGATGAGTATTCTGAAAGGTAAGACATATTCTGAATAAATTAGGCTTTCATTCAGTTGATTTGAAATATTGGAACTACAATAATTTAGTTATACTGTAAAGAATTTTTTTTATTCCATTTAAACCAGGGCTGACTTTCTAGTGGCAGAGTTTAATTTTACCTTGCTAATATCAGAAACTTGTTACAACCAGTTGAAACTGACAGAAATTTATGAAAATGTTTAAAGTTTTATATTAGTATACAGTATTAATTTATTTTAATGAATAAAAAATTGTGCATACTGATGTAAATGTATATTAAAAATAAAAAATATTATTTTCATTAATATTGTTTTAGTAGATGAAAAAAAATATATAGTATGTTTACTTCTAGAGATGGTAGAATTAATGTAATTTTTTTTTAATATAAAATTATATATATTGTATTTATATTTCTATATATTATTTTTATGTAAAAAAAGTGGCAGTATAATACATTGTCTTCAAGGAAATTTTTAACACCAACACTACAGAATAAAATGTTTTTCAGGAAAAGTCCAGTAGGAATGTTAAGAGTAAACAACAATTTATTTACCATCTGATGCTAGTATTGTAAGATAATTTGGCATCACTTGCAAAGAAACCAAAACAGCAAAAAGTAAAAGGATTAAAAAAAATAAATAAATAAAAGGATTGAATGATTTTCAGTTAATGTGAAAAATAGCTCAAGTCCAAAGTAGAGCTAATACACAAGTGAGCGTTAGTGCTCATTAGCAGATTGATCTATATGAATGATGAAGAGAATTATAAATATAACATTTGAAAAAGACCTTTAATATATCTATCCAATGTGACAGACTTTGTTATTGATGCAACTGGAAAGGACAGAGATCTTGGATAAGGCAATATTTGTTGACAGAGAATGGAATTTACAGTTATAAAATTCCATTATTTCTTAGCAAGCATCTATTGTTTGTTTATATGATTAATTCCCTAAGATAGGCTTAATTCACTAAGACAGGTTACATAAACCCTAGCAGGGTTGAAAACTTATTGGTTAAGTAAACAATGATCCTAGGCATGAAAAGAGACAATCAGTGATAAAATTATTACAGTGATTCAAAATGATTTGAGTAACATCTGTAATGATCATGTTGTTATTTGTATTCTTGTTGGATGTGTTTTCTTTAGTTGTCTAGCTTCTTTTCTGATTTAAGATGATTTGAGTAACATTCATAATGATCATCTTGCTGTTATTTGTATTCCTGTTGGGTGTGTTTTCTTTAGTTCTCTAGCTTCAGGGTTTAAGGGGGGAATGTGAATTTTCCCATACAAACTTGCATTTTTTTTCCAAGGCAGTGAACAGAAGTGTAAAAGAATATTAGCAAAAGTGTCTTACTACTTGTAGACATTTTGCTCATAGTTTTAACCCATATTTGACCACTGTTCTAAATATAGGACAGCTCAATTAAATTTCATTAAATGGAAAAGAACGGTAAACAAAGATAAATTTTGGCCTGACTCTCTTGAAATAGATGCAAGTTTCATATGCAGGCCAGAAAGGCCTGTCATAATAAATTTCATTAAAAAATGGCTTTTAAAATGATTAATTTATAGCCATTATTTAGCATTAAAATCTATACTTATTCTAAACAGATGTATACATTTCTGCTAGTAGATTTTTAGTACTCTTTATAGAAATAAAAATATCCATGAGAAAAATTATCTTTTTAAGGTATTTTCTTTGCATTTTATACATGTCCTGTAAATAGGACAACGATCCAATCCCCAACTTTTTTTCGCTCGTCACTTCCACAATGCATGGATCAAACGCCTTCAAACCAATTTTGAACAACATATATTCATACAATGATATTAGTGTGACATGTGGAAGGATTCAAAAATACATTACTCTGGAATTTTCTTTGGGTATCTTTTCGATTAAATTAAAAGGTAAAATGTCACATAACCTCCTAAGTAGGTTTTTCCTGAGTAAAAGAAGGTTGATCTATGTGATGTTTCCTAGTAGCAGGTGTAGTTTTGTATAAAACAGACATTCTCAATAGAAATTAGCATGGAAACTTTCTTTTTTAGCCTGGCTCCTAAGAAATTAGCCTGGAAAGTTTCTTTTTGAACCTGGATCCTGATTGTTCCCTTGTGGGCATTCAAAGCTGTGACATCAGATGAAATCATTCTATAGAACTGCACTTGTTGTTTGGGAGAAATAATACGTAATATTTTTTCCTAAAGTAGACCAGTTACTCTGTTTATTACTTGAGTAAAAATCTCAATTGTCTTTGAAAGATCAATATTTTTAAAATGGCAAGAAACTTTCTAACAGCTCAAGAGGTTATTGAATATATAAATTCTCTCTCTACTGAATGAATTGATGAGCCTGAAATGGTTATTATTCTCTCTAAGCTTGATTCAGTTAGTGATGAAGAACAGATAAATAAGAGTAATAGATAATTGAGTAAGTAAGCAAAATTATTGTAGTAGTGTACTGGACCATTGTCCTATTAATATGACAACCTATAACTTAATAAAACCCAAACAATATCTGAAAATTTTTGTTTTACATGTGTTATTACATCATATTATTAGTATTTCTATACATTTTCCCAGTGGAAATTTTTGAGAATGGTGCAGTATGGGTTAACTTTCTAGAAACTGAACTTTCTTGCAGATAAGATTCATGTGTATATATTTGTTTCTAAAACATAAAAGGAAATGTTTGCTTTTGAAGTGTTTTGACAAATCTTATTCTTATTTCCCTTTTTGTAATAGAATATTATAAAAATTATAGTTGGGCAGATCTGCTGTTTTTTGTTTCAAGATTTTATTATTGAAAGTATTGTTTTGACAAATCTTGTTCTTATCCCCCTTTCTGTAATAGAATATTATCCATATAGAAATCATAGCTAGGCAGATCTGCTGTTTTTGGTTACAAGATTTTATTTATTGTTGCAGTAAAATAACGATTAAAAATATGTGGCATTTAAAGTGTAGGTAAAGTGGCTTATTGCCTATCAGAAAGGATGAGGGGGGGGGATATTTTTTAGATTAGATATAGGAAAAAGAGAAACACAGAAAGTTGTCAGGAATTCATCTATGTATTATTCTGTGCATTAAATATTAACATACTCTTCCAAAGAGGTACAGGTCTAGAAAGTGGTAATCGTGCTTAAAATTTTGTGAAATAAGATTTTTTTGAATTCAGGATTAGCAAATTTCATAATAAAATATGCCATTTAATTATTGAATAAAGTACAATTTAAAAAATCAATTTCTAACAACTTCAATATTTAAGAATAGTATAAGATTTTGCAAGTTTTATTACTTTCCTTTTATGTTACATTATCTCAGCCTTCTCTAGGAGATAAAAATAATTAGTTCAGGATATTTACGAAGTAGATGAAGCTAGATGACTTATATAGATTAAAAAAACAAAGGAAACTTTGCCTTTTATTTTTAAAATTGTTTTTAATATGACCTGCAAATCACAACAGATCTTTAACTGTGTATTTGTTTGATTTGTGTGTGATACTAGTAAAGTATTGCAATTTTAAATGTTGCTTAGTTATATATTACCAGCAAAAACCATTTCTGGGTTCAGTTTTAATTTTTACCTGGTTAGTATTAATTAGTTAAAACTGAGTAACTTAAATTCAGTTTTAAGTAATTGATACTATACTCTCAGTTTAAGATCTTAAGCATTCAGGTTTATTCAGCATTCGTATTAAATTTTGGCTAAAGCCATTTTATAAGGTAAAATATTTTTACTTATTTCAATGAAAAAAAAAAAAAATAGCTAAATCTATAATCATATAAGCAGATTGATTTAAAATTTTAAAAACTTGGATTTTGATTCTTTTCCTTTAGTAGCCTTAGAATTTCGTAATTTTTCCTCTTTGAAGCAACTTCTATTCTCAGTGTCATGAAGAAATTCTTTGGCCATTTGTGTTAAGGTGTGGAATAATTTTTACTAATATTGAAATATTAGTCCTATTTTTGTGATTAAGTGCATAGTTGTGTCATCTCTTTTTTTATGTCTGTAGAATCATACAAAACATACATTATTTAAAAAAAATGCCATGGCTGTAAAATGTAGAATACCAAGGCCCCAGCCCTGAGAGCAATACTGCTGGAATTTACTATGGTGATCTCAGCTCCCCCCCCCAAAAAAAAGACTTCAGTAAGGTTAGAAACTGAATTGCTTTCATGCTGGAGTCAGTATCAAATCTTGAACAAGAAGATTCAAGTTTTTTTCGATAAAGTGGGATGAACCTGTCTTCAACTATTATGATCCTAACTCAGATGGACTCCTTTACATGGGGATTAGAACATTGTGTGTAATGAAAAAAATTTAGTCCTGCAAACAACTCTGGTAGTCACCAGAGTAGTAACTCTTGACATCATTTCAGCAGACTTGATGCAGGATACATTACTTTCAGAAAAATTTTCAATAAATGAAATGCATGTTGAAATCTTCTATCACAATTTTCTTGTAATATTGCTTCGTTTAATATGTTGACAAATTTTAAAATGTTTTTCAAATATTGTTCTTTTTTAATGAGCTTTTGAACTGTCATTTATATGTGTTCTATATCTTTATGAATTAAGGTGTGTTCTTTTAATGTACAGTAAACGATGCAAGAAAGGTGAAAAAGGTGGTAAGGGCCTACGTCACTTTTCTATGAAAGTTTGTGAAAAAGTCCGTAAAAAAGGCACAACTTCTTATAATGAAGTGGCTGATGAGCTGGTTGCTGAATTTTCTGATCCTCATCGGCACATGTGTCCCACAGACCAGGTAGGTTGAAAATTAGATTTTGCATTTTTTATTTCATGTACCTTCATTTCTAAATAATGTTTTTGTTATAGTGGTGTGTTCATTATATGCAATTAAGAGAATATTGAAAAAGAAATCTTAAATTTGAATTAAGTATTTTGAAATAGATAAAGTGATGGAAATTTCTATGAAACTAATTTTATATAATTCATTTCTGCATTTGATTATTAAACATATTTTTTTCGTCAAATTCCTATCACAGGCTTATGATCAGAAAAATATTCGAAGGAGAGTGTATGATGCTTTGAATGTTTTAATGGCCATGAATATTATTTCGAAAGAAAAGAAAGAAATTAAATGGCTGGGCTTGCCAACTAATTCTGCTCAGGAGTACCAAAATTTGGAAGTAAGAAAATGCTTTCTTTAAATGCATTTTGTAAAGAACTTGTAATGATTGTAATAATATATTTACTAAAAATATCTTTTATTCATACAGAAAGAAAAACAGAAAAAAATTGAAAAAATTAGGCTAAAAACGCTGCATCTACAAGAGTTAATTATTCAAGTAAGAAACATTGAATTTATAATAATACATTTCTGCATTAATAACAAGGAAGTGAGCAAATTTTATCATTGTATAATATTTTTTTATGGTTATCATTTAAAATTATTAATATAATTTCTTGTTTAATGTTATGCAATTATTTTATTTCAGCAAATAGCTTTTAAAAACCTTGCTGCACGAAACAGAGATACTGAACGCCAAATGAAATGTCCACCTCCAACAAACAAAATTCGCCTGCCTTTCATATTACTAACCACTCATAAAGATACTGTAATTGACTGCAGCATTTCTGGTGATAAGTATGCAATATTTAGTATATCTGTATTATATATATTGTTTCTACTCTTATATCTTTGTGATATACGAGGGCCATCCAGGAAGTAGATTACGTTTCCGTCTGTGTCCGCTAGGGGCGGGGCTAGCGCCGCCATCTTGGGGTCAGAGCGTTGCGCAGCTCAGTCTGCATCTAGCCGTGCTAGTGAGAGTTCGTGCTGTGCTCCGTTCAGATACTGTGACGGTTTGAAATGTCTGCGTTTAATGAAAATCCCCGCGAGCTGCGAGGTGCGCTCAGTAATAGGTTTCTGACTGCAAAAAAACTGTAAAACCGATAGAAATCTATCGGCAGCTTCGTGAAGTGTATGGGGACAACATTATCACTGAAGGTGGAGTGCGTCATGGGTCATAAGATTTCAAAATGGCCGAACCAATGTTCACGACGAAGATCGAAAGTGGGAGACCCAGCATAGTGACCGCCGAACTTCTCGAAAAAGTCGATGCTAAAGTCCGTGAAAATCGAAATTTCACAATAACGGAACTTTCTTTGAGTTTTTCCACAAATTTCGCGAAGTTTGTTGCACGAAATCATCAGCGAAAAGCTTGGTTACCACAAGTTTTGTGCAAGATGGAAGGCAAGAAGAGGTAACGGAGTGGTTGAAGGCGCAGGCGGCCGAATTTTTCGACGAAGGAATTTCCAAGCTCGTACATCGCTACGATAAATGCCTTAATTTGTATGGTGACTATGTAGAAAAGTAGTATTTGAGTGTGGCTTTCATCTGTATATAATAAAATTTGTTTCCTATACTTTGTTTATTTTTTTATTCCAAAACGTAATCTACTTTCTGGATAGCCCTCGTATTTAAGGTGCATACTGTTTATGCTTTGCACTAATTATGTATAGCAATAAATAGTGAATAAAGGTAAATTTTCCATTTCCTCTGTTCAGTGAATATTCTTAAACTTTATTAGCATTGTCTGAGGAATGCTTTGAATATGTGAAATGCTTTTTAATACCTGATTATGATGAAAATTGTTTGAGGAGGAATGAAAAGCAGTTATTTCTTGAATATTTCCAAGAAATATTTGAGCAGGGACATTTTAAAATTAAACTAAGTATTGACTTTTTAGATATAAAAAAGTAGAGTTATTATAGATGATTTATTGAATGAATTAGATGCTAAAAAAATAATTCTTAAAATGATAACGAATACATTTATTATGTGGCATGTAAGGAATTAACACATTTCCCTATGAGTACACTCATGGTTTAGTGATTACCAAGTCTAGCTAGAAATTGGAAGATCAGGGGTCCGTATCCTGGCTAGGACAGAATTTTTGATCTTTCCAGGCCTGGAATATCTAATGGTTCTACAGTGGTGCCCAAATTAAATCTGATGCTCAATAATTCATTACCACTTAAATTTATAGAATGGTTCTTGTGCCTCTCTCTGGTTTTCCTTTGAGGGAAGAGCTTCAGTATAGCCCACCTTCAAAGTTTTGCAAATTTGTTTTGGCGCCAATGCACATGAAATACGTTGTTTTGAAAAATGGTTGCCATCCAGATTTTTGACGAAACTCCGTGTTTAAAAAATGGCGGCCATCTTGATTTCACCAGAAATCGTGGATAATAGAAATAAATTTAAGACTATTATTCACGATTTTAAAAGAAAGAAATATTAAAGAATGATTAATGAAAATGATTAAGGTTAAAAGGATGCAATTTTAAAAACAATGCCGGAAAATCTCACCTTTGCTTGGCTTTCCCAAATGCAAGATACCTTTGGATGGTATCTTACATTTTTCACAAGTTTTATCCTTCAATAATCCACAATCCATCAAAAATCCTCTAAAAAGTTCATACGCTCTTGCTAATTCATACATAAAATATCTGTTTGGAATGCCTGGCTTTCTTAAACTTTTACGCTTGTTTGAAAACTCCCACCTTAAATTTTCCTTTAAAATCTCTTGATACTTACCGTATTTTTCGCCGTATGAGACGCACCCAATTTTAAAGGAGGCAAATCTAGAAAAAAAAAAAAAAAAAAAAAAAGATTATGAACCAAATTCTGTAGTAAAATATTTTATATCAACTGTATAAAGTTAACAGCAGTTTAAGAAAAATTTTATGTCAACCATGTAACATACTAAGAGCTATCTTTAATCTCTTCATAAATCTATCAACCATGATGGGATCCGGTGAAATCCTGAATGCCTTTCTCCACAGCATGCGTTTGGCCTCATAGATTATCATTTTTGTTGAGACAGGTCATTTTGCCGGTGACGTGTGATCCACTCCTTTCTTCTACCTCTAACTCTGGCCACTTTGCAGTTGGTCCACGCAAGGTGTGCTTGCTTTTATCCAACTTTGGAGCTGATCCTCCTGTTTCCTCCAGTCTCTTATCATTTTCTCAGTTGGAGGTGGCCCGAAGGGTCTCTCCGCTGCTCTGTTTCCATGCTCCTTAGCAAATTTTATTACTTCCAGCTTGAAAGCAACTTTATATGCCAGTCTCTTCTGCTTCGACATCTTGATGGGGTGGTATGAAATATGATATATTTCATTCAGATATACCATACTACATATATCACAGCTTACAGCTATCCGCGCCTCCGCTTGCTCCCGCACTGCGATTGGCTAAGCGAAGAGACGCATGCCTTCACCCGCTCCCGCGCTGGCTTACGACTCTAAAAAGTGCACAAAGCCAGCGAGGGAAGGCACGCGCCTCTTCGCTCAGCCAATTGCAGCGCAAGGCAGAGACCGTCCAAATACAGTGCGAGGCAGAGCGGGGCTTCGTGGTCTCAGACGGCGCCAAGAGGTGGAAGGGAACGGAGTGGCCGAGTATTCCTGCGGTAAGGTATGTATGCAGAGGTGGAGGGGCAGCGGAGGGCCATGGTGGGCTTTTGTATTTTCCGTATAAGACGCAGTCACTTTTTCCCCCATGATTTTGGGGAGAAAAAGTGCGTCTTATACGGCGAAAAATACGGTAATCACAACATCATTAAAAGCAGATTTAGAGCAATCCATAACTAAATGCAAAAATTTGATCTCCAAAACGGTATTCTCCACAATATCTAAGCGTTAAACAATCGCCTAAAATAGTTTTAACGAATTTTGTGTTTAGATAGTTAATTTCAATACAATTCTAATTAAAAAATTTTTTATTTCCTCATGCAATGCAATGCGAGATAAATTTTAAGAGAAGCTATGCCGGAAAAGTAAGAAGGTGTATTTGGCAGGTGTATTTAAATATGAGTAAATGGATATCTCGGTAATTTGTATCGAAATTGAATAAATGTAACTGACTACTATATTAGCTGTAACCGTAATTCCATCCTCTTGTTTACATTGTGTAGTATGGGTTACCACATCATATTATTTATCGCCGCTCTCGGTGATATTTTGTGGTTAAAATTCTGGGTGGGCTATACTGAAGCTTTGAGTGTTTGAAACACAGCAAGGGCATGACTGATTTATCATGTTTCCTGGTCTAAAATATGTGAATGATTTTTATACTAATACTTGCTTATGCAGTTTATTTCTTTATATTGTTTTGTCGAATAATCTTTGGGGGGCACTAAAATTTTCTATACTTTCCATAATTTTTTTGGGGGGGGGAGGGGGCGGGGGGGGTGTCCGATTTTGTTTAACTAAGAAGCCGAGAATTGCTAAGCATTTGTATAGCAATAGTAAAATATCATTCACCTGAACTTTATCACCAAAACAGTAATGAAAATAACATAACAATCAATGATTTTGAAATCGGTAGTTCCCAACTGTTTTAAATCAACTTTTTCATTCTTTAGAGGTAAGTGTTCAATTAAAACAAGTGGTCGAGTGGTTAAGGCCATTGAATATTGCTAATTTAACCAAGTTCAAACCATTCGAACAGGCTGGCTACATGCTTGGTTTTCATGCTTTTGGTCATATGTAATGAATGCATGCCAGTTTTCTTAGAAAGTCCTCTGCGAAAGCATCTCTTCCCTTAAGCTGATAGTCTTCATGTGCTTTGTTGTAATCAACAAACCAAACCTAACCTAAAATAAGTGGTGTGAGTATATAATATGTCTAAATAATGAACTGAAATATATCAGTGATGAGACAACTGGAAATATTTGTTCATTGAGGGAGTATATCAGTTAAATTCATATACCTAGAAATTGGCAAGTTATTTGAAATAAAAACATTTCCAGTGAAAGATTCCAATGAATTAGGAAAGAAAAACTTTTGTGGTAATCCAGAGTAAGAGAAATTATCAACAATTGATGTTAACTCTTTGGTGGTTGCAAGAATTCTCAAATATGCTCGATATCCATCAGTCATAAATTTGTAATATGAGCTTGTTCTTTTGCACTCGCTATGCATGACATATTGAATACGAATTTGTAATATGAGCAAATGGTGCATAACTCGAACGCGAGCTGAGCTCTTTTTATGACCATCAAAGGGTTAATAAGACGATGCGTTCTAAAACTGAAAGCTTACTTTCAGGTTTGTAGTACTAGACAGGAATGTAATTCTATGAATTCAGCAATGAAAGAACTGCTTTGTTATTTGGGATTGCTTTACAAAGAAGAAAGAATTAATCTACTGACTGGCATACTGCTTGTATGACTGTTATGGTGTACTGTTGATAAGCACTTTTAAGGAAAAGCTCATTGTTTATGTACGCACTAATGTACACTAATCGAATCACGAATGTCGCTGCCTACGCATCTAACTATCTAACGACGTATCTAAATGCCACATCTAAATTTCTGCAAGCGGTGGTTCAGCTATAATTCTATGATCAAATACTCAATCTAGTTTTAAAAGGATTTATTAAAATACTAAAATTAATCTAATCTAGAATCGAATCTAATGTTATATCTCAGGAGCAGCGTTCTAGCTGTGTCATAACAAATCTAAAGTCAAGTTCTCACTGTTGCCATTCTGAGGCAGAGAAAAGTTTGTTTCTAATCAAACCGGAACATCGGCAGAGTGAAAGTTTCTAGTCAAACCAGAACATCCTGGCCCCCGTTGGGCAAT